TGTTTAAGTTTCACCTAACAAAGTCTAGAGCTGCCTCTGCCCACGGGGATCGGTAGATGCTAGTAACTGTAGTTTCTGGTTGCTTGAGAGTTAATAGTAAGTTACTATCAACGCCCTGCAGAGCCCCCACTCCCTCCGCGGCCCCATTTATCTGCTGGCTATATTCTGTAGACAGCAGGTTAATAGAAACAGCGGGTAGTGGGTGGTTTCAAATTGCAGTAGCCAATAGCAGGCTGGCTATTACACCCAGCCACTGAGCAGAGAAGCGGACCTGAGATAGTTTCAGCTTTCGGTCCTTTCATCAGCCAAACAAAGTGATCATAATTTTGTTTGCCTGATGAAGAGACCTATATGGTTTAGAAACTTCACTACACATTGTGGCATGACCTTTTTATGTCAATAAAGAAGTATTTTCCCTGCAAACACATTGGTCTCCTCCAACACACTACATAAGGCTGCCGGGAAACCTTATTTTTATAGGGCGGGTGCAGGAACATAAATAAACCCCCTATGATTGGCCCTTCTAAAGCATGTGATTACAATTTAGAGGCCAGGAAGTTCATTATTGGTAATTGGTTGCTATAAATTGGTTGCTAAATAAATAAATGTTGAGTCGAACTCATGATTAATCTGAACTCAAAGCTCATCATTTTTGACCTCCAATGTAATGGGGGAAATTTCATTGACCTCCAATGTAAAAGATATATTTAAACAGACCATCAATGTAACATGCATTTACATTGACCTCTAGTGATGGGCACATTTCCCAGGTTTGATTCACCAAGGGTTCAGCCAATCTTGTTCAAAATGCAGTGAATCTGAATGTAATGTGCATTTCTGCTTTAGCAGCCAAACTGGGATAACATCTACTATATATTTGTTACATGTTTCTAATTCACACAGCAAAAAAATATTTAAATTGCTGCTTGCACAAAATATGACCAATTCTGAAAGACTAGTTGTCCTCTGTACAGAATTTCACTCTGGAATGCTAGGAAGATTAACAAATATTGGAGTGCTTGTGACTACTTTGTCCATTACTGTTTGATTGGCGGTGCCATCAATGGTCACTGCAGCACCCACCCGCAGATTATGGTTGGAATGCCCAGATTATACCAGAGATCCCACGCGAAGGGGAATGGGAAATAATCCTATATACTCAATGAGAGTAGATGGTAGAAGCCTCTTTTGCAAGAAATGCGAAAGACAATTCAATGACTCATTTCAGTGAAGGTGTTCAAGGCATTACATGATAGGGACACGAGGAAACGGGCACTAGGGAAAACACAATAGTCTGTGCCATTGATAGAAAGTAAAAACTACCAGAGTACACTAAAGAGTCTGGTCTTACAAGAGCAAGGGAGCAGTGGAAACTGGTCCGCCTGAAACTAGGAATTCACAAAATCCCTAGAGACAAGGAAAGGGCATGCAAAGGATCAATTATCATGGGGAGTACTGTTCATCTTAATGGAAAAAATCCACTGCTGAAGTAGTGTGGTACACACTCAGTGGTAGATTACTACCAGAGTCCGGATACTGAATGTCATTTGTGTCTAGGAGCCTCAGCTTTAGTATAATATGTATATCCTGTATATGGTTCCCATGTTGCCGTACCAAAATTCATGTTCAGACCCATTCGGATGCATTAAACTGAAAAACACATCTGATTGGCCGGGAAAGTCACATGTCCGATTTAGTTTAGTTTTTGAACAAAATTCGGACGGGATCCGAAATTCAGAAATGAAAATTAGGACTCGGACACATTTGGATGCATTGGGATTCGGAAATTCGGATGTATCCGAATGTCCGAATTTCTGAAAATTCATCCGTATTTTGATTCGGAAGGAAACAAATTGCACATGTCTACTTTGTACATGCATTTGAACATAGACCCAGGTCCTACCAACTCACTGTAACTATTGGTGCCCCCTTTCTAAGAAAGCACAAGAAAAGGGAAAAAAAACTCAGTCAGGGTTACAAACACTTGTCTTAATAGCATACATGCCCTATATCAGTGGTTCTCAACTCATGGGTCGCGACCCAAAAGTGGGTCGCGAGCCCTTCTGCAGTGGGTCGCGGCGCAATCACGGCAGGCTTGTATTAATGAATAGAAAGCCTGCCGTGATTGGCTCAGCGCTCAGCCAATCACGGCAGGCTTTCTATTCATTAATACAAAGCCTGTATTAATGAATAGAAAGCCTGCCGTGA